GTAGTGGTTAAGTATTCATTTAATACCTGTAGTGTGTGTGTATTGAAACAACCAATTGCAGTATCAGCGGGACCCGGTGCCTGTTGGTATTGTTAGGGTCCACAGTCAGAGAGGGACTCATAGGCCATCACGAGAATTTAAACCGGGCTTTTACCAAAATGGAGACACGCAGAGTACTTAGGTCAGCTCTTTAGCAGGATGGACTGATATCTTAGGCAGTGAGTTACGCTGGTTTTACATGACCACATTGTGCATCCAGTGGTTTCTACTACTTATAACAGCATATCAGTAGTGTACGGAATGTTAGCCCCCCCCTCTCCCGCCAAGATAAACTTTTAGAAAGCAAAGAACATAGAAGCAGGGGAACAAAATGCTGTTGATAAAAGGCGGAGAATCGATAGAAACTAGAGAACATTTTATTTCGAATGAAGGATACAACTGTTATTTGCAAGAAACAAGTTGAATTCAATGTCCTGACACTTTATCGAGTAATGAGTTTAATGTTATCAGTTCTACTTTACCGTGGGGATCACCTAGTGAAACAGTCTTGTCCACTGGATGACGTCCCGAGCGCAATTTCTTTCTCATAGTCACATTCAGACGACCACACAACTTTCCGGTTCAGTTTGTACAATCCAGCTGTGTTTTAATTCTTCGATGTCATTGATAGTAGAGTTCTTCACCTGCTCAAGATTGATGTTGCCCTACTCGTGTTAACTGTGTTAATAGTCGACTCAGTAAATAATGCTTTATTTGTCAAACTCTCTACCTACCCGTTCTACTAAGTAATTTTGTGTAACCGTTTGATGACTGTTCTGCAGAAGAACCGCTATCCACGCAAGATCATCAAAAGATGTTTACATAATTTGTCGTCAGCCAAGAAGTCAACCTCAAAACCAACAAACGGATTGTCTTACCCTACACGAAGAACTTCTCTAAGATTACAACTAGATTATTAAGGCCTTATGGAATCGCTGTATCTCACAATCCTACAAAACCTGTTCAATCTCTGTGATGCAGGCGAAAAGATACAGGGACCAAACATTATCTACTGAATAAACTGCAGAAACTGCGAAAGACACTACATCTGACAGAGTGGTTCCCCCTCTTCACATCTGTCTACATGAACATTGACTAGCAGTGAAGCGTCATCACATATCTTCGGTCATATTAATGCATACTGACAGCTGTAGACATGAATTCGACTGGGATAATCTTCGCGGGATAAAGGAAATACTAACAAAGCCAGAGAATTCATAAAAGCTTGACTTTAGGTCAGTCAGTAATCAACAGACATATTCACACTAACACCATCTATCAACCAATAAGAAACAGCAAGAAGGTCAAATCGCAAGTCGTCATGACAACCACTCAAGATAAATATGACAAGACTTTGGAGAAAACAACCAATCACGTTCAAGGCCATCAGGACGAGCTAGTAAATAAATTGTGGAGAAAACCTTATAATTGACTTCTTTCTGAAGTTCTCGCTGATGACGATATTGTCTAGAATGAGAATGAAAGCTCCACGATTAAAGCATCCAGCTAAGCGAACACAACACCATCAAAGGGTGTAGCACTATTCATGGCTATGGCTGAGCTACCTTTCGGATTTTTATTCTTGCAACGGTCCACTATTGTATATAATTCTGTCAGTTTATATGTTTCATTGGCCTAACTGGTCCCACCTGGCCAGTTTGAATCTATGTATTTGACCTCATAGTCATTACATGCAATTCAGTAGACTGAGTTAGTCTGTGTAATAGACTCAACAAGATTCTTTAATCTACGAAGCTTATTTCTAGGTGAGTGAATTCTGGCCTGGTTGAGTATCCTACTCAAGATTTCCAATTTTCATTCTATACATGATGATATCACGGAGGTAGATGTTCATTGGATGGAGGCAACCACTAAGAGGTCCAACTTCACCTAGGTTTCCTGCTTTTTGGCACTTGCCAATAAGGCGTATATGCAACTCAATTCAACTGTTGTTCAATCGAAGATTCAAACTGGGATTATCCAGCACTGCAGTAGGATTGGTCACTGAAGGATAACCGATTTCATGTTGTCTAATCCCAAGTATTGATCGAATCCTGTCATTCATTTTCGCAATATGGCTCCCAGGCTAGGCCACTCAACACCATGATGCACTGAGATTAATTTTAGTTGGTCGGAGGCAATCTGTGGGAATCCTTGTTCAACCCAGTTTGCAAATATGCCTATCTGATAAGTCCCAACAAGTACATAACCTACGTCCAAAGCTTCCTGCCGATTGCCTTATACCAACTAACATCTCTTTCTGGACATCGTGACGGTGAGCCTTATAGTATAGTGGCCAGATTACGAAAATGGTAAACAGAATTATGTCAGCACCTTGGATGATACAACATGAAGTTGGTTACCCTCCTATAACCATTCCATGTCCTAAGAAGCCTTCAAATTCTTCGTCGGTGGTCGCAATACTCCAGCCTACTACTACTACTACTACTACTACTACTACACACTACTACTACTACTACTACTACTACTACTACTACTACTACTACTACTACTACTACTACTACTACTACTACTACTACTACTACTACTACTACTACTAAAGCAACAGGAGACGACTCTGCAAGAGGATGGTCACTACGAACAATTGGAATGGTAGTGGTTACATATGGCAGTCCTTGCACTAACGCAGCCATTTGCAAATGTCTTCGTTTCCTCTCCGTTCCTGTCTTGATTTGCTCTTGACCGGCTCTTCATACACTCTTATCAGCAGCATCTCCTGTAATACGCCTGTGTTGTCCCCTGCATTGCTCTTGGCAGAAACCTTACCCATTGCTGGTAATTCCCTGTGATTCCTGCCATCCTCTCAACATATACTACTTATATCCGTTGTTATCAGCAACGCTCACTACTACTACTACTACTACTACTCACACAGTACTACTATCATCCTAATCCCTACTTGAATTATTAGTATTATTTTGTTAATATCTCCTACTTGTTCCTGAAAAAACTGACGGATGAGGTTGTTGAGTGACAGTACTTCTTCAACATGTTTCAATTTCTAACTAACTGATCAGTTTTCGTGCCCAGTTACTCAAGCATGTAACCAAGGCTGCGTTAACTGATGTCATATGAGAAGAGTGAATGCCAAAATGTTGAGTAGAGTGTGAAAGCCTTTTTGTAATTGCTGATATTTGAATCCCTGGCCGCACCATCGTCCACTTCCACAAACAAACCAAATGCTGGTTGTGTTTCATTGCTTTCTAATCTGAACCTGAAAAAGGGGCTTTCTAGAAGTATTGAGTTTATGTGAAAGAAATTTGTAGACAAATTGTGATTTCGCATTATGACATACCTTCGTCATATTTTTGGAGGAGTGTTGAGTGTTTTTCCCATAGTGCATAAACTTGTCTGCCACACCATGAGTTTTTGGTAATCCTAGGATAGTTTTGTCTACTGAGCTATCAGTCACCACTGACATCAGATGAAGGAACATTGGGAACTTGGGAGCGTTGGACAGCAGCTGTTAAGTCCTGGTATGGCACTCCTCAGCAGTACGCACCAATGACCCCACCGCACCAGCGACCGAACCCAGGAACTTATATTATCGTTCAGCCACTGGGCCGGTGGAATCCAATGGTTCATATTTCCAACTTTTTATCGTTTCAAAAGCCATAATAGTTGATATAGTAGTGCAGAGTCTGGCCACATCAGAACTACCCAACTAAAATTCAGCAATAAGAATGATGTAACTTCGCTTCCGAGTATATGATTGCGAAAGACATGTCATACTCAAAACGTAATCCAGTTGAATATTACTGCTTCACTGTATAGCTCATTTTACAGGAGAACTATGCTCGACTACAGAGCCCAATTTATACTGTTACTCAGTAACAAATGCCTAATTAACATTTCTCTCGTCCCTCACGAGTTTTATCTCCCGCAATACTACTCGACTAACCATTACACTGATTGATTACTAGAAACTAACCAATCTCATGTTGTGTAGGCTTGAGGGCTGATTGAATTCCACCGATGATTTTTTAATGTGGCCACCAAGCTAAGCGACTCACCATCGTGGTGAACCATGATGGATATTAGTTGGTTGAAGGCAATCAGCAAGTAGCTCTGTCCGACCTAAGTTTCATGACGACCACATGACCAAACGTTCAATAAAATTTGGTTAGCACTCATGACTAAACTAGATGAGATTGGTTACTCTTCAGTGATCAATCAGTGTATCTAATCCATTCCTACAGGAAGTCAGTCGCCACCACAATGGCTCAATGGTAACGTCACTGGCTGCAACACTGGGTAGTGTGGTTTCGAGTCTTGGGCTCGGCATCAGTCCCTTCAAGACTTTAGATATGCCTTGTTGACAAGTAGCAGGAAACCTAGTTCGAGTAGGGCTTGGGAAGGATTACCTACAACCAACCAACAATCTGACACCTTATCTGATCAACAACCATTCCACATTCTCCATTCTGGGGAGAGTGATTCCCTGTGGTTAGGGTTCAAACTAAACATAGGCAAAGGTAACCCAAAACAACATGCATAATAATCGCCTGTGCTGGAAGGCATCAATAAAATAGGTCTTCCCTTTCAGGACACATCAATAGCAACGTGCTGCCCATGGAAACTTAAGATCCTCGATTCGATTCCTGGAGGGGGGGGCAATAGGTGCGCACTGCTGAGGAGTTCCGTACTAGGATGAAACAGCTGTTCAATGCTCTCAGATTTCCAATATTCCTTCAACTAGTGTCAGTCAGTGATGAAAACTAATTTGAAAAATCGCTAAATCCCTACAAACCTTCAAATTAAACACATCAACATTGCTGAAACACCCATTCAACAAGTCTACAGACTAACATAGACCAGATAAAATTCAATTGAATAGAAAATAACAAAAAGCGTGGAATAACTAGAATCATCTTCTATGTTCAATAGTCAATTGAATATAATATTGCATAATAAATACCTTTTATTTTGATCATTTATAGGCGGCAATGTTAAATCACATCCAAATGGTAATGTAACAAACAATGAAACATTATGCTCAGTAAGTGGACTTACTTTATTAAGATTTTATTCTTTAAATGAAGATATCTTTCTCTATGACAATAAAGTATTAACCGGTTATATTTTTACACAGATTGACAGGTGTATATACTCTTCAGAGCTGAAATAAAGTTGATCTATGAAAAGTAGTTGAGGGTAATTGGTCAGTGAATTTGTAAAGTCTTCTAAAAATCAGAACTGGTTTTTAATTGCTTATCAATATGCCTTCAAATGTGATCTAGTCGATAGATGATCGATCACTGCAGTTCATTTACTTGCTGTTCATCCTTTCAAGGTCATTTATGAAGGGAATCTCAGCATCAATGGCAAACAAATAAGTTTTGAGTGGGATTTTGGGGATTTAGAAATATTTCAAGTTGATATTCATCTCAGACTGATATCAGTTGGAGGAACAATAGAAATTCGGGAGCACTGGACAACTGTTCCGTCCTAGTATGCGACTCCTCAGCAGTGTGCACCCACGGTCCCACCGGGGATCGAACCCGTGACCTTTAGGTTCCCTGGCCAGCATGTTGCCACTGAGCCACTGGCTCGGCGGTATCCAATGATCCATATTTTCAACTTCTGTCAGGTCATTGGTGACTAGCTTCGACAGGTGATTCCTGAAGTACCAATGAGAAGTCGTGACCGGTGGAGAAAACCTGGTGGCCGTTAGGATAATTATACAACGATGATATTGGGTGATGGTTGCGCTATGTCGTGAAATGATAGAAGTTGGAAATATGGACCAGTGGACCCCGCAGACCTAGTGAATCAGTGGCAACATGCTGGCCAGGGAACCTGAAGGTCACGGGTTCGATCTCCGGTGGGGTCGTGGGTGCACACTGCTGAAGAGTCGCATACTAGGGCGAAACAGCTGTCTAGTGCTCCCAAGTTTCCATTGTTCCTCTAACTGATGTCAGTCTAAAATGGATACCAACTTGGAATACACTTTTATCAGTTTTATTGATTATTAAGGTCAAGTTAGTGAACTTTGAATCAAACTGATATCCACTTTATAGGTTTATAAGGTTTTTTTTATCTTGAAGGATATTTCATGACACAATAGACCTCCTCCATAAAACCACTGAGATCTAGATGACTATTTCATTCTAGTTTTGCGCTCTTTAGCAGTACACACCAACGATACCGTACAGAAAGTTACTATAAATAGCATATGGCAGTTAACTGTCTACTGCTCTCTTGTTTTCAATGCTTTCTTTGGTGGATATCAATCGTTGATGAAAGCATCATTAGAAGTTATATTCGATAAGACAAATGTTGATTCAGTTTTCGATGATCTGTAGAATAAGCAACGTCGGTGAATAACTGTAGGTCAGACTCATTGAATGATTGTTAGGTGACCAGAGAGCCACTGTAACATGAGGAGAAGCAGCTGACTAACTATCAATCAAATCTAAGCACTACTTGTCAAGCTTTTCAACCAGGCGTTAAATGAAATTGGACTAGTAAATCTAAGTCTCTGATTGGTCAGTAAAATCAACCAATGAAAGTCAACCATTGTTTCTTCAAGGAAAGATTTTTGAGTATCTTGAAATTTTCTCTATTTTATCATCTTACGAAAGTTGAAAGTCTCTCCGGAAATACTCAGTGTACTACAGACGACTGTATCGACAATCTTTGATAAGAGAGAGAGAGAGAGAACTAAAGTCCTAGTTCGTAACAGTTGAACAGTTTATGACCATCATAGTGGTCAATGGAAATAACAAGGAGTCATAAAAAAAGTGACTATGAGAAGTTTTTCCCGACTAATGCAACAGACTATTTCGTTGACTTATTGGTGGTATATTCTAAGCCTATGACTATATATGGATTCATTAAAAATTCATGAAGACTGTAAAAAGTTTTCGTCCCAGTTTGGTACTTCGCAACAGTGCACAATTATGATCCTATAAGGGATCATAAACATCATCCATTGACGTCAGTAAGTATATCTTCTCGTTCACGACTTACTTGATAACATTAGACATGATATCTGTTATGAACTTTGTGAGACCTATCTTGAAGCATATCATAACATGCTAGACACAAGAACTGATGGTACTGAGTTCGATTAATGATGGAATCATAAGTGCTCATTGTTGAGAAATTGCATATCAGGGATATAAACAGCTGATTTCCATTTCTCTCAGGTTTTCAATGGTTGTTCACTAACTTATATAGATCAATGGTTAGTGTCACCTTAAAATTTAATTAGATTATTGTATAAAGTTTGCATAAAACTTGCAGAAATGTTTATCAAAGCATCTCTATTTTGGAACTAGACATTTTATTCCATTTTTTTATAATCTAGCACTATATAGAAGAGATGGCAGAAGAGGCAGCAAAAACGGGACTTCAGGTGAATATAGAGAAGACAGAAGTGATGAAGATACCGCACCAACAACTCCAACAACAACAACAACAAACTCCAGTCACCATCAATGGGAGAAACTTAAAGGAAGTAACCTCCTTCACCTATCTAGGAAGCACCGTTTCAACTACAGGCGCCACAGGCACAGACGAGGATGTCAAAGTCAGAATCAGAAAAGCAAGACAGGCGTTCATTCATCTGAAACCAGTGTGGAGATCTTCTGCACTCAGCATGCGGAACAAGATACGGATTTTCAACACCAACTCAGTCAAGTCACTGCTTCTGTATGGTTCAGAGACTTGGTGCGTTACAAAAGTGATTTCCAACAAACTACAAACATTCATCAACAACTGCCACCTACGCTGTCTCGTTACTGAAGATCAGATGACCAGAATAATGGGAATAAGCAACAAGGAGCTCTGGGAACGAACCAACGAAGCAAGAACCTATCACTCAACAAATATGCACTGGGAGTAAGTGGAGATGGATTGGGCATGCACTTAGAAGGCCGACTAGGGACATCACGCGTCAGGCCAAGTCATCGAGTGGAATCCAGATGGGAAGCGACGAGTTGGTCGTCCGAGGGTGACATGGAGGAGATCGTGTGAGGAGGAAATGAGAGGTTGTAGGCTGTCGTGGAGCCAGATTCGAAAGATTTCAGAGAACAGAGTTCACTGGAGACGTGCTACTGAAGCCGTATGTTCCATTAGGAACCCAAGGGACTAATAATAAAAGATATGGAAGAGATGTAAACACTAAAGTAGCCTCTTCAACTGTAGGGTACTTAAACTTTCCACTGAATGAACGTGGAATCGATAAGTTCAGTAGGAATTTTATTCATGTTAGCATGTATTGACAATATTCCTTAGAGATGATATCAAAATTTCATGCTGATGAGTCCCATACTAGGACGAAACTGATGTTCAGTGCTCCCAGATTTCTAATGGTTCCCCAACTAATGTCAGTCAATGATGAATACTACGTTTAAATTATTATTTATTTTTCTAAGAATTTCAAATAGAAACTTTAGAAAAACATGGACGCTAAAAGAGGTGTCATACTAAATAAGAAAAGCAACATTAGGAAGACATAGAAAGGAGAAGAGATAATAGAGACAAAGATGAAAATAGGTGGTTATGTAAGAAGTAGTTTCAAAGGAACCTTTCTTTTCACTACTGGATAATATAAAGGTTAGAAAACTTCAGACTGATCCCCAGTAACTTCGATTCTTAGACATGCTTGTTTCCTTGTCAAATCACTGAGTTGGATAGTCTCCTAGTATATTGTCATATTATTTGTCTAGTAGAACAAAAAGCTTCAGTAGCACGTCACTATTTCACTCTCTTCTCTACAGTCTTTTGAAGTTGGCTCTACCACTGCCCATAACCTTTCATTCCTTCCTCACACGATCTCCTTCATATCACACTCGCACACCCAACTCGTCGTTCCCCATTCGCCTTCCACGCAACAACCTGACCTGGCCTGGCCTGGAACTTTATGTCCCCAAACCGTCTTCTTGGTCTGTGTCTAATCCCTCTGCACTTCCTTCCCCATATTTGTTGGGCGATGGGTTCTTGGTTGCTTCGTTGCCAGCCAGCCAAAGATTCTCTTAGCTTATTTTTATTATTCTGGTCATTTGATCTTCAGTTTCAGTATGGAGTAAGCTTAGGCGGCAACTGCTGATGATGTCCGTCTGCAGTTTGTTCAAAATGCTTTTCGTAACACACTAAGCCTCTCAACCATCATATGGAGGCATTGACTGACTTGACTGTTGAAAATCCGGATCTTATCCCACATACTGAGTGCAGTGGAACGCAGTGCAATGCAGTAGATCTCCACACTCATTATTTCAGATTAATGCACGAAGGCCTATCTCTCTGTCTCTCCGATCCTAACTTTGACATCCTCATCTGTGCCTCCTCTGCCGCTTGTAGTTGAAACGATTCTGCCTAGGTAGGTAGGTGGGTAGGTAGGTGGGCAGGTAGGTAGGTAGGTAGGTGGGTAGGTAGGTAGATAAATAGATGAAAGAGACTGATTCCTTCACATTTCTCCGTTCATGGTGATTGGTGCTTGCTGTTGTCGTTGTTGTTGTTGTTGTTGGTTGGGTAGCTTCACCACCTCTATCTTCTCTAAGTTCATCTGAAGGAACTCTCGTCTTCCTTCGCAGCCTCGCCTAACCTGTTCTGCCAACTTGTCAGTTGTCGCCTGTAGATCTTCGAGTTTGTGCGACAAGACATTAAACACCAATCATCATTGACGAAATCCAAATCTTCTCCTGTGGTCTTTCCGTGGGTCCAGTCAGCGTATGCCTATTTTCTCACAGCTCCTCACAGTTTCTTGCATGATCCAGTCTAGTCCAGTTCAGTCCAGTTGACCACAATCAGGAAGATGATTGGTGATAGTAGGTGACAACCTTGTCTTACTCCTGTCTCCTGTCTTCACTTCAAACGCATCACTGAGCTTTCCATTCTGAATCACTTGACATGTAGCATCATCATATAGCATAGCAGATAGCTGTTGTTCAATGACTTTTATAAAGGTTTGTGACACTGAAACCGTAGTGTTGAAGTAGTTGCCAAATTACTTCTCGATCGGTGCTGTCGAATGCCGTTTCTAGGTAGGTGAAGTTGGGGTAGATTTGAGTTGACTGTCATTCCCTGGTGTGTTCTATGATGATGCCTAGCGTTGCAATTGGATGTTCTCTTGGAGCCCATAAAAAGAGTTTTCAGGCTAATGGCACACAATTACACGTCATCCCATCGCTCCAAGTTCACATTGGCCTACTTTCCCCTACCTCTATAAGGTCTTACTGCGATTGCATTTGTAACACTTGTCCAAGCCACTGAAGCCGGTGTTTCAAGATGACAACACCTAATGGAAGACAATCTCAATCACGCCTAAGCAAGCCCCGTTCATCTTGCAATTGCTTACATGATGCCTCAATCAGATGCAAGCGATCCTACACAGTCAACGGTGGTCGAATATGTAGAGGGATCGGGAACCCTGGGCATGGAGACGACAAGTTTTGCCATCATATGGCAGAATTGTTTGCATGGATACGTTACACACCAGTGGTTTTACAGGTCTTTTAGCGTTACGACGATGCCAAAGGCAGGAAAAACTGACATATACCATTATAACTTTCGATACATGGTTGGAAATTTCATCAGTCACACGTCGGCAAGACGTATCCACATCCTTGAGGGAACTGGCATTCTCCCCAAGATTTATTGTCCAGTGTCGCAGTCATCGACGCTACCATTAAGCTACATTGACCACGAGTGACCTCTACTAGGACTATATTAAATACATTGATTGATCACTGGAGAGAAACCAGTTTCACCTTGTTAAGTCGTGCATACTGTTCGAATTCTAATTGACTACTAGAAAATAGATACAACTTCGTCCAAATAACACTCATCAGTAACGTCATCTCCCTTTCATTCAACTGAATAAAGACTAAATTTGAAAAGAAAAGGTCGTATTACGCCTAATGACATTCAACAACACTGCCACATTCATTATATCCGGCAGAAATTTTTGCCTTCGTTGTATTATGCTCTCTGAGCTACATGGTTTAATCGTGTAGCTTTCATCGTCTTGCTAGACGACGTCATCAGCACTAACTTCTGTTTGAAGTGAACTGTCAACATCTATCCGTGAGTGATTTAGTGACTTACCCTGACCAACTGGTTTGCGATTGCTTGTTTCCTTCGATTGTTGTGTCACTGATAGACTGTATAGATTTTGCTGTTAGTTATTCCCCTACTAGACATCTGACCTTTCTGTCTTCTATCATTTTTCTCATTAACTGGTAGATTGGGTCTATGTCTATACATCTGTTGATTGCTGACTAACTGACTGACTGACTGACTGACTGACTGACTGACTGACTGACTGACTGACTGACTGACTGACTGACTGACTGACTGACTGACTGACTGACTGACTCACCTGAATGCCAAGCTTATAGGAATTCTCTGATATTCTTCTCTGTGTTTCCTCTCTCCATCCAACATTTCCACACTGTCAAAACTCAATTCATCTCCACAGTTGTCATCCACGTGCATTGTTGAAATGAGTGATGAAATGTTGTGTGTCACTTTTAATAAATAGCCAATTGGTGTTGATGTAGACGAAGGTGAAGATGGCGACCAATTCGTCCAATGTTGTGTTGACTACAGTTATTCCAGTTGCTTTCGTAAATGATGTTTGGTTTGTCTTCTTTGGTTGTTGCATCCTTTGGTTTGCATAGTGAGGTTTGGAGGGTATAGTTGGTTTATGAGCCAGCCACACCAATTCCACTAAGTGGTTTCAGTAATCTTGTCATGATTTCTGATACATCTCCTTTATATATGGTAGGATGATGAGTTTATTGATTTGTGTCGATGACCTTTTAGTTGATGATGTATGGGATAGGCATGTTGTGATAAAGTTTCGTGGGTAGCCGTTCATCTTTAGGATGTACATCAAGTGATTTTCTTTGTTTGTCCATGAAGTTGTTGTACTGCAGTATGTTCTGGCTCTTTTGAATGGAGTCTGCACACAAGTAATTTTGTGTGTTGTTGGGTTGTTGCTAGTGTAGTTGAGGATGTGATTAGTATGTGTTAGCTTTCTTATCAAGTTGGTTTCCATCTTTCTGGTAGTTGTCCATTTGACTAAAACATCCAGGAATGGTAGTTGGTTGTTTGATTCTGTCTCCATTATGAATATGATGTCACTGAGAAGGTTGTTGATCAAACTGTGAGTGTTTCCTATATCATCTTTTTTTAATGATGACAAAATTGTCGTCCACATAGCGAATCAATGACACAACAAACATGGAAAAGAGCCAATCATGCACCACTTCGTCAAGGCCAGCTTCTCATGACGTCATCTTGAAAAAGGATGAAAGCTCCACGATTAAACAACCAGCTCAGAGAACACAATACAACCAAGACTATGTACCTGACCTGCAAATATTCTCCACCATTTTAACAATTTGTGGATTTTACAGACAATCAGTTTGCTATAAATATATATGAAATGAATATATAAACAGTGATATTGTCTAATTTTGGTAGTGTTTCGAGTAAAACTTCTGCCAGTGATAACAACAATAACGATGCACATGAATGATGAGTTTCCTAACTTGATGGCAACATTGCAAAATGACCTATAGAGTTTAGTCAGTACTAAAGACCAGGAAATTTGTTATTCTCCAATGATCCACTAATGATGATGAATGCTGATGAAATCTTAGCTCAGATACAAAGGCTTGTTTAACATTTACCAACTTGTGTTATCTGTAGCGCCGACTTGTGAGTTAGCTGTTTATCTATAAAGGGACGACTATACTGCACTGCAGTCCCGTTTGTCCTGTTTTACGGCTGTGAGATATGTCTGTTGAAAGTGGAAGATGTGAAGCGGTTACTGAGTTGCGATCACAAATTTCTTCGCAGCAAAGGCTAATAAGCAAGACAGGCAAGTCGATTGATGAAGTTGTAAACCTTCATAGATTGAGGTAGCTTGAACATATACTGCATATGCTTAGTAGCTGCCTTCCTCGAAGTTGGATTAGGGTGGAAGAGAGTTCTCGGTGGCCAGATCAAAGTCTGGCACCAGTCCAAGAAGTTCCTGACTGCCAATCTGAGTCGTGTAGAAAGATGTATTTCACTATCTGGTTTAGATCTCTGAGGTTACACGAATGAGTGGTTGAGGACTCTTGGTCAGAATTGGTCACCATGGAGTAGATGTGTTCACTTCTTGATATCTTCTAAAGGTTAAATATTTGTACGAATCTCTATCTTCAGATTTTTTATAATCTCACAGAGCTCTGTTTACCCACCTGTTCTTTGTATACTACTGGGTGATATGACAACTTGAAGTGATGCAAGTGTGTGTGTGTGTGAGGTTGTACATCGGTTTTATTTAAAAACCTCCAGATACAATTAATCTAGCGCTCATTGGTGACTAGCTTCGAGAGGTGCTTCCTAAAATTCCTTCGAAAAGTCGTGACCAGTGGAGTCAGTTAAGTTGACCATGAGGATAGTTACTCAACGACAACATTGGATAGAGATTGTGCTATATAGTGAGATAATAGAAGTAGGAAATATGGACAACTGGTAACCTACTGGCTACGGAACCTGAAGGTTCTGGGTTCCAGCCCCGTCGAGATAGGGTCATGGGTGCGCACTGCCGAGGAGTCGCATACTAAAACTATTTTATTGTTAAAATATCGCAGAAGGTCAAAAAACAAGTTGTACTTACATTTATACGGTCACTTGTTACAGATCCTATCACTATGGGTTTTTTTCAGTTTCTCTCTCTTTATGAGAGTGGTATTTTTCAAAACTATTTTCTATCACACGCCCACGTGAATTACGTAACCGTTGGAAACTAGATTTTCAAGTTTCCCCAGCGACTTTTCTCAGTTTCATGTAGAATCGAGATCTCAAAGTGGTGGGTTCCCTTTCGTATAGGATTTGGGCTATAACTCTGACATGATTTCTTTTCAGCTATGTCCAACCTACAAATATCCTTCAGATAATGTCAGTCTGTGATTTTAGCTTTGTTCAAAAAAACCGATTACTCTCCTCCCCTCCGCCATTCACTCGGATAAATCACTAAGCCATGCCTCTTTTTACTTTTATTTTCACAGCCAATAGAACTTTCGGAGAATGCCTCTTCATTTTATCGTACAATGCCAGAAAGTATGATGAATAACAGATGTCTGTAAATATTGGAAGAATGTCGTGTTTCAACGAAACACCAATCGGTACTGTGGGTAAATCAGTAACTCTATCCACTGATATGATTCGAAATCCAATGGGTAAGTCTACTGATGAAAATTTGACTATCATTTAATTCCTGAGCTTCTACTGCTGAAATCACAGGTTGAATCTGCTTGCTTCATGAAGGATGGTCACTGATGAGTGGCCAGAAATCAAAACGAAACACTTGATTTTTATCGTCTCAAAGACTAATTCCTTTTATTTATAGACTGAATCACTGAGTTGTGGTACGGAGAGATCCTGTCAGTATTCTAGTTCGAACCCCGCCCTACCAAGTGATATTTCACTAGAAAGGTCACATCTGATGTTGAGCATACTGCTTCAGTTCACTGATATTTTACATCAGATCGTCAATACCGAGGAGTTAGATAAATAGTAGATCACTTCTCACCGCCTACTAACATTTCCTAAGATTAAAATTCTTCACCTCACATTTTCATATCTTGTCGATTCCATTTAAGTCCTCCACTATTTCAGTATTTCGGATTATTTACCTCACCAGTCATCTCTCTTCTCTATGAAAGACCATCCATATTATCAGCAGTACAAATCCATTTTCATAATTAGATCTTCCAAACGACCATGCCTCACACAGTGGTTAATGAAAGGGATGATAAGTGTAAGGGAGAATGAGTCGCTTCGAAGGACATCATGGAATTCCGCAGATAAGACTCACTTCAAACGTCAAACACTTCATAGTTTTGCATTGCCTCCATCTTCAACTCATCGCACGTCTACCTTATTATGCTCATGTCCTTAACAATATTTAACATGGAGGTAGTCATGACTCAAGGTGTCCACTTTGACTTTCCTTAATCTCTACCCCACAACTCTTGACATTTCGTCAATCTATGAGATACAGGAACCGAGTTTTACTGTACCTCTGCAGTTATTCGACAGTAGTGATGATTAGATAAGGGAATCCAGAATGCACATTCCATCTCATTTGGGAATCGTTAGCTGGAAGTATCAGGATCTCAGTGATTCACTGCAAACCAGCACATATCGCATTAAACACTAGGGTGTTATACAACAAACTAGTGAGTCATGAGAGCTGTCTGTTGTAAAAATCAACAAGAAAATAAAAATATTCAGCAAAGAAGTGCAGTTTGCTTTGGAATTCCATCAAGTTAAAAGTACTTCACACAGTGGAGTTGCTGGAATCAAACTATGAACAAGAAGCGAATCGATATGAAGGTACCTCAGACACATCATCCAGTAGAAATTATAAAACTCCACTCGAAAATATTCTACTATGAGTTAAACTGTGAATTAAAAAAGCAGTAAGATTAGTTTGAATTGTGGTGTTTCCAATGTCAGGAAGGAGATAGACTCATTGAAGTTGGCATAATCAAGGCTGAAAACTGTCAAGAGCTAATCACAATTAAGCAGACTCCACAGTGGCAGGCAACAATTCGAATTGAAAAATTACTTCAAGACTGATGCTGCATTATTATGATCATTTATTATTTGTCCCTTAGGTTCCTAATGGAACATACAGCTTCAGTAGCACGTCTCCGATGCATTCTGTTCTCTGAAATCTTTTGAACCTGGCTCCATGACAGCCTATAACCTCTCATTTTCTCCTCACACCATCTCCTCCATGTCACCCTCAGCTGGGACGCCCACCTCATCGCTTCCCATCGGGGTTCCACTCGATGACTTGGCCTGACGCGTGATGTCCCCAGTCGGACTTCTCAGTGCATGCCCAATCCATCTCCACTTACTTCCACTGCATATTTGTTGAGTGATAGGTTCTTGCTTCGTTGGTTCGTCACCAGCCAGCCAGCCAGCCAGCCAGCCAGCCAGCCAGCCAGCCAGCCAGCCAGCCAGCCAGCCAGCCAGCCAGCCAGCCAGCCAGCCAGCCAGCCAGCCAGCCAGCCAGCCAGCCAGCCAGCCAGCCAGCCAGCCAGCCAGCCAGCCAGCCAGCCAGCCAGCCAGCCAGCCAGCCAGCCAGCCAGCCAGCCAGCCAGCCAGCCAGCCAGCCAGCCAGCCAGCCAGCCAGCCAGCCAGCCAGCCAGCCAGCCAGCCAGCCAGCCAGCCAGCCAGCCAGCCAGCCAGCCAGCCAGCCAGCCAGCCAGCCAGCCAGAGTTTCTTCTTGCTTATTGTCATTATTCTTGCCATCTGATCTGATCTGATCTGATCTGACCTTCAGTAACGAGCCAGTGTAGGCAGCAGTTGTTGATGAATATCAGTTGTTTGTTGGAAATGCCTTTGGTAACGCGTCAAATTTCTTAACCACATAGAAGCACTGACTTGACGTTGGTATTTAAAATCTGGATCTTGTTCTTTATGCTGAGTGCAGAAGATCTCATTTTAATCTGGAGGAATGTTACTGAACGAAACTGTGACATCAAGTGATCCCATTCATACATTTACTTCGTCCACAAACTGGAAGTTGTCTTTGGCGATCTATTTAGCTAACTGGTCACATAAATGTTGAATTAATTCTAGTAGACATTTTAGTGATAACGTGTTGAGTTGAGTTGATCATGTCTAGGCTAGGGCAAACAGGCACCTTCCAATGTGTATATTCTTGTTGGGAGCAGATATCCATGGTGGCAACATCATGAAAAACGCTTTGCCATTTGAAGAGGTAGGTTCTGGGTTTTAGACTCATTGAGAAATGACGGTTAATAAAGTTCATAGAAATTCAGGGTACACTTTCTTATGCTCCGATATTTTTAACTCTAGGTAGGGTAAACCCACGAGAAAATTTTGATACTTCCCCAACCAAATAACTAACAGAAAAGGTTCTATATATTTTCATTCTTTCCTCTCTCTCTCTCTCTAAATTTTGTTGCCAACATTCTGATTGGTTGTGAACGCTGACCATCTCAAGGTCAGTTAGGGTAGTGGATCAAGGTCAGGATAGTATGGGATTTTTCTGCCCAAATGCTTAAAATGACTCAGTCTTAATGTTTCTATTTAACTGTTCAATATTAAAAAGCTCATAGAACACTACCATGGTGAATCGCCTGGATGTAGAATTCTCAGAGTGAAGTGGTTCACGAAGCGAGTAGAAAATACACGTTGATACCTAATGACGACACTGGTGAAGTTATCCGAAACTGATTATCTTAGAAGCTAGCAAAACCGAAGGTCTCTGTTTTTTATATTTCCCTTGTTAACATTTACGCTTAACTGATAGGTCAATAAACTATTTTTCTTCAAAATGACCTCAAGTGTAATTGAAACATGAAAGTAAGACAAAAGATGAGTTTTATTTAGTCACTTCTTCATTTAAACAAATGAAGTTACATTTTTGTTGTTATTGTTATTTTTACTTGGACCTAGTTGAAAACCAATCTATCCATCTCATAATATTTCCTGTTTTCAATACACGCGTTTACTTTACTCAGCATTCAGGGTGGAGATGGAGATAGGTGTATTAGGAAAAGTCTAGTCTAGTTAATTTTGTCAATTTTTTTTCCCTTTAAAAAAATGTTTTCCCCATTATCATTTAAAGTATGATTGATAATTATACTTTACAGATGTGTAATGGTTTAAATGGATTGTCTAGGCCTAAATTTTTTGTTTTATTGCGTGTGTTATATTATCGTTTAAATTGATTTGTTGTGTCCATTTAATTACAAATTTAGTAAAAGTGTACGAACGCACACATATAACATAAGGACAGACACAGCGACAAATGCACTTAACTAGAGAGAGAGAGAGAGTGAGAAGGGGGAGGGAAGGAACGAAGAAATATAAAAAGTGGCTTAGAAGCACAAAAAGCAAAATGAAATGAATTAAGCAGTTATGATATAGTATCCAATATACTCCATTTTCCATCTCTACCCTTGCACTAACTGATATCTGAATTTCTTCACTGGAACATATACTACTAACTAGAGTGAGTAGTTTGACCTCAACTTAACCAACCAATATTCCTTCCTAAATAGATTGGAGGCAATGGGTAGCCAGTTATTTGGCCCATCGGACGCTGAACTTATCACCAATGTACCCAGAGTAATTAGGCTAACAGATCTCAATTTTTCTCACCACTTAACAGATAGATAGATAGTCAGTTCGACAGACTGGTTATACCTAGTTGTGGCATTTACACCACGGATTGAGAATCCCTCGAACTAGTAAATTTTTTCTAGTTGAAAATGGTTGATTCCCCTGTTTTTTTCCGCGGGGGGGGATAACTCACCATTAAAATAATCGCTAACGAAGTAAATACTTAAAAGAGAGAAACAATTAAATTTTCATTACAGAAATAAGATTATAACGTTCATTAGCTCCGTTTCAAGACATCAGTGTATCACTTGATATTCCTCCACTCCTGCGAACCTCATTTGGGATAATGGATTTTACTGATTGAATTTGAAAATCGCCTGGCATTTAGAGAAGTTGACCGATTCATAATATTTACTACTGAACTACGTGAGAGTTTATAAACCCTCTAGGCTGATCTGTAGGCAGATTCCGCTAGCCCTGTCGACACCGAAATCGAACAGTTAAAAACTGCCCACCATATTGATCGGTCCACTTGGAATATCTTCTCGTATATATTAAACCTATTTTCGCTTGTTTATATTGTATCATATTGATCAACTACGTTTCAGTGTTTAACAGAAACTTTGCTAATTACTTTCAAGGATAATATACTCCCTGAAACACTTGAATATCATGAGCTTTACTTCTGAAAGATATTGTCGATGATTCATACTGAAAAGCCTTCAAGCTATTGAGGTAAATAAATTCTCCTCCAGATAGTATACAACAAGGTGATCCAGTTTGTTAACTTCTCACCGAGTGGCCAATGTTTATGGACTTAGTTTTGTGATATCATCACTAAGCTAAGCTGAGGTGAGGTGATGCTACACGAGGTACAAAACTATTCACTCTGATACATCGATTTTCTTCATTAGCGCTGAAATATATCATTCATTTATCAGCCCTTAAAAGAAACCTATCACGAGGCTGTTAGTTTAAGCCAATTATTCTATGCCTTGGTTTTGTTGAATTTATGGTGAAATTGAAAGATTCAGTTGTTGTTAAATCCTACTCCAAGTGCGAATAAATTGTGAGATACAAGCCTAATCCAATTGACTGAAAATGGATACATATATGTGGAATATTCTAGAGACGGTAGCAAAAATATCATTTCACTAACTGGGTTAATGAACCCCATGCGATTACCATTGTGAAAGTTTCGAATCGTGTAGCAGGTACTGAGCTACACCTATTATGTGAGGGCAAGCAATCTATTCTTTGAGCTATCTGTATTCTGTCTTCTGAAGGCAGACTACTTGTATACACCCACACAAACGTGTACTTCCATTGCTAAATAATCATTTTTGTTCAAGGTTATAAAGGTAGCCAATGACAGTGAAGCAAAAACAGTTTGAAATTATTAACCAATCACAGTTAATGTGCATATGTCAGCAGAGATATCTATTGATTCACATCTAATATGCTGCTATGATTGTAGAGATTCGATTGGTTCAAAGAAATGTTCATAATTTTGTAACAACAACTGGTGAAAATAGCGAAAGACCAGCAACACTAGACAATTGTTTCAACGAACTTTGGAACTCGTCAGTAGTGCACATTCTTAACTCTGTACACTAAGGAACTTGGTGCATTATTTGGGGAGCATTTCACATCTTAACTAATGAGGTAAAACTCATTAGTCTACTGTTTCCAACCTCAATTTCTCTGCGGAGTGGTATTTGAAGGTAAAATGAAAACTTGGGTGGAAACAGGATTCGAACTAGCTGCCTCTGGGTTACTCACCATGTGATCTACCAACTCAGATGCGAGACCCAGTAGCTGACTAGGTCTTAATTCTACCCTTGTCTGCCTGTCTACCATGTGAATCCATATTGTGTAACTGTTTCTTAGTACTTACCACGCTGGTTGCCTATTCAGGTCCTTTCTCTAAATACAAATCAAGCTGAGTTGAAGAGGGAAGGACGTCGGATTATCAGTGAAACTGTCTGAGAGAGCCATGGCTGGACAGACTACCACTGCTGATATAAGGTGATGATTAGAGATAAAATGGAAACCAGGGTTACGACAAGATTCAAACAAGCCATGACACTGATACGGTCCCTAAATACTGAAGACACCTCAGGTAAGGGCGACAACCATACGGTAACATAATAATTTCTTTCTGATTCATCCTCTTTGGTCCCCCCCCCCACCCAGCTGGGAGTAGTTCACAACTAGGGTGGGACCCGTGTATTTATATTTCTCCAGTTTCTAGTCTTCCCCAACTGGTTTTCAGGCGTAACCCTTTAAACACCACACTTGGATTGTCAAAACCCAGTAGGCTTTAGGAAATACTTACATACCCGATATACCTTTGATAAATCACACCAAAGGACACTTGTCGGTCCAAGTCAACTAACCAAACCCAGTCAACCTGAGCAATTCAGCTGCTCTGTGAACTGACTTGGTCCATGTGTACACTACTAATGAGTCCAGTCTCGAAAGTGCGGAACCGGTTAAGAGTGTTTACATGCTGATATAGATCACTCTCAAAATATCTTTACTTACCTCTACATTCCTCATGGTTGCTCATACTGTTCTAGTCTAGTGAGTTAAAAGTAATTTGAACATTTAAATGAAAAAAAACTTTGTTTTTCTATCAACTATTCTACTCCATTCAGGTTCACAACGTCTGCTCGTTCGAAGAAATTCTGAGCCTCGTCTTCTATTCAACACGAATTTGAATAGACCAACACCTCAGTCTGCTCTGTTCACATCCCAACTTCACAGCAATTTAACTGACTCCACATACACACCGAAATGCTTATTTCAAGTACAAACACCACAACTTAATGCCGATCATGAATATCAAAGCCTAGCTCCAGTTGTTGATAATCGGATCATGATGGCGACGATGACGACACGTTCTTCAAGATGCTTAACGCCTTTCTTTGAATGCCAACCTCATTATATGCCTCAGCTTGTAGACACTGGTGGTGTGAATCAGATGAGAAATAGCTACTGTGACTGGGTACCAGTCCATATGCAACAGCCGAATTCTCCGACAAATATTAGTCATCGGTCACTTGTTCAACTAGAGACAACATTGAACAACAGTGATAACAATAACCATCAACAGATTCTACAGCCAAAATCGCCCACACTCATCTACGCGACTTCAGTTAATCCCCATAGACATCCAATACACTTTCGTGGTGATTCACTACCGATTTACCCAAACAATCACTTACAGAACTCATCATATCTAAAAGCGTTTCATCGTATACCTGAGGAACAGACTGAACAGAACCCCGGACGACTACAACAACAACATCCATTGTCCACTTATCAAGATATCTCTTTGTTACAAGCCACTTTAAGGCGTCACAATCACCAGTCAATAATCATGACTACACATTCGAACCCGATGACAATGACTCCTTATCAGCACCCCCACCACCACCAACAACGCCATAATCGATTGATTTCTACAGCCAATCGAAATCATCAGTATAAAACACTACGCAGTTCACAACATCAAACTACCCTGCTTACAACACCTAGATTGATGTATTCGAATAACTTGGACGCCTGTAATAAGACAAAAAGTCACCTATACACACCAAGGAAAGATGAATTCGAATGTCAACAGTTACTAACAGACGATAACCGACATGGTGTTGTTAAGGTGAATGAGTATATTACTGATGAAAACAGCCAGAAGACAGTATGTCATTCACATGATTTCAATCAATCAAGACACATGGGTGATCATACTACTAAAAATAACAATAATAGTAGTAGTATAAGTTCAGTCAAACCTTTAGGTCATTTGAACAAAACATTGGACTATCAGAAATTCTCCACTAATTCACATGAACACTCGACCAATCAGATGACGACACATTTTAATTACCATAGTGATGTCATACACATTGATGAAGTGAATGTTGATAATGATGATTGTGGATGTAACACAGAAGCTGAAAATGATTCACGTCAGTTTAAATGTGTATCATCATCATCATCCTCTCTTCCTGTGCTTGTCAGCATGAATCATATTGGTAGGGATTCGAACAATGCTGAGAAATTTACAAATTCACAAAGATGTTATCCTCAGTCACCACCAACAAATTTGTTAATGTCAACACAATCAGATGCATCCAAATACACTTATAAAACGCTTAGAGAGGCGAGTTTTGTTTAAATGATGATGGTGATAATAATAATAACAATAAGTATTCATCGTTCAACAGACACGATTTTAAACACATACAAACAAATTGAAGAAGAATACGTATATCCTGTTTTTATTATGTGGTAAAAGATTTGATTTTTTTTTCTTTCAAAAATATACTTTTACTTCGCATAACTAATACACAATCTAAGATTGATTTCATATCTATAAAAAAAAGCGCCAATTATTTAAATTGTTGCACGGCCAAAAATCAATAATGCCGCCATTTTAAACGTGTATTAAATGTTCAATGGTTAGAAATAAAATCAGTTCAATGTATTAATTGTTCATTTTGATGTGTTAAGATGTTTGTTAAATTGTTCTATGTTGATTTTTTTTTGTCTATAAAGCTGAAAGACAAAAATAAGTAACAGGTGAAATTCAGACGTTTATGTGCATGTGATTAATGAAAAAAATGTTACTTTTGTTTATAAGATGATGAATGTGATGAATTTATCATTTTACCTTCTTGTTCAATAATAAATGGAGTATTGACATACAGTGTGTTCATTAATCTGATACTTTACTTTTCTGTGAATAGAGATTTCAGTGTGAACAGATACATTTTCGGTGATATCATCTCTGAAGCAAAGACGCAGAGACAACAGAGGACATGCTCACACCACTACTGCAGAAGGAAGGAAGGAAGGAAAGGTACCTGCACATTGGAAGAAGGGCTACCTTATCAAACTCCCAAATAAGGGAGACGTATGCCTTTGCAAGAACTGGCGAGGAATCATGCTCCTGTCGACCCCAAGCAAAATATTATGCCGCATTACCCTGGTGAGAATAAAGGATGCTCTGGATTCAAAATTACGACCGGAACTGGGAGGCTGGCTGACTTCAGGCAGAACAAATCATGTGCAGGTTAGACTTAAACGCTAAGCTACGCATCATCATATAACAGAGTATAGAATGACAATCAACTCAAATCAACCTCAACTCCATCCACTTTGAAAAGGCCTTCGACAGCGTAGACCGACAATTGGGCAACTGCTTCAACACTACGGCTTTAGTGCCACAAAACTTTATCAATCTCATTCAATAACAATATGAAGACGCCATATGCCAGGTAATTCATAATAGGAAGCTCAGTGATGCCTTTGAAGTGAAGATCGGAAGGAGTAAGACAAGGCTGCCTACTATCACCAGTGATATTCCTGATTGCAGTAGACTGGATCATGCAGTAGACAACAGTGAGGAGCGAGAAGAGGGGGATACACTGAACTGATGAAAAGAACCTAGAAGATTTGGATTTCGCCGATGACTTATGTCTAATGTCTTGTGGCACAAACTTGAAGATCGACAGGCGAAAACTAACAAGTTGGCAGAAGAGGCGAGGCAGAGCAGTAAAGGAATACGGGACTTCAAGTGAATGTAGAGAAGACAGAGGTGATGAAGATATCCAACCAACAACAGCATCAACAACAAGAGGCACCAATCACCATCACCATCAACGGGAGAAACCTGAAGGAAGTAGTCTCTTTCACCTATCTAGGCAGCATCGTTTCAACTACAGGTGGCACAGGCACAGACGATGAGGTCAAAGCCAGGATCGGAAGGACAGCAAGACAGGCTTTCACTAATCTGAAACCAGTGTGGAGATCTACTGCACTGCACTCAGCATAAAGCGTGAACAATATCCGGATTTTCAACACCAATTCAGTCAAGTCAGTCAGTGCTTCTATGTGATGGTTCAGAAACTTGGCGTGTCACGAAAGTAGACATTCATCAACAGCTACCACTTACGCTAACTCGTTGCTGAGGATCAGATGGCCAGAATAGTAAGAATAAGCAACAAAGAACTCTGGCTTGTTGGTGACGAACCAACGAAGTAAGAACCTATCTTCCAACAAATATGCAGTGGAAGGAAGTGGAGATGGATTGGGTAAACACTGAGGAATCCATTAAGAGACATCACGCAGCAGGCCAGGCTAGGTCGTCTAGTGGAATCGAAAAGGGAGACAATGAGTTGGGCTTCCGAGGAGGGGGTGACGTGGAGGAGATTATGTGATGAAAAAATGAGAGCTTGTGGGCAGTCTTGGGCAAAGTTGAAAAGACTGCAGAGAAGAGAGTGGAATGGAGGCGTGCTACTGAATCCCTATGTTTCACTAGGAACCCAAGGGGAAAAAAAAATGATGCTCAGGAGCTCTGAAATCCTATTTAAATGCAGTTAGTGTGCCTAAAAATGTTGACATTCATTAGCTGATGAGAAACCCCACTGAACTTGGGTTTCGTCTTTGTCGGCACTCGTCAGCAAGCCGTGTAGGCTTCGAAGTCGAGTCACCCGGTATTATTATTATTATTATATTATTAGTTCCTTGGGTTTCTAATGGAACATATGGCTTCACTAGCACGTCTCCAGTGAACTCTGTTCGTCGAAATCTTTTCAACCTGGCTCCACAACAGCCCACAAGCTCTCATTTCCTCCTCGCACGATCTCCTCCATGTCACCCTCGCCTCCGACGTCCAACTCATCGCTTCCTATGAGGATTCCACTCGAGTACCTGGCCTGAGGTGTGACGTCCCCAGTCGGCCTTCTCAGTGTATGCCCAATCCATCTCCACTTACTCCCAGTGCATATTTGTTGAGTGATAGGTTCTTGCTTCGTTGGTTCGTTCCCAGAGCTCCTTGTTGCTTATTCCCATTATTCTGGTCATCTGATCTTCAGTAACGAGAGAGTGTAGGTGGCAGCTGTTGATGAATGTCTGTAGTTTGTTGGAAATCACTTTTGTAACGCGCCACGTCTCTGATCCATACAGAAGCAGTGACTTCACGTTGGTGTTGAAAATGCGGATGTTGTTCACATTCCAGGCTGAGTGCAGAAGATCTCCACACTGGTTTCAGGCTAATCAACGCCTGTCTTGCTTTTCCGACTCTGACTTTGACATCCTCGTCTGTGCCTGTGGTGCCTGTAGTTGAAACGGTGCTTCCTAGATAGGTGAAGGAGGTTACTTCCTTTAAGTTTCTCCCATTGATGGTGACTGGAGTTTGTTGTTGTTGGTGGTGGCGTGGGTTGGATATCTTCATCACCTCTGCCTTCTCTATATTCACCTGAAGTCCCGTCTTCGCTGCCTCTTCTATCAACTTGTTAGTTTTTGCCTGCAGATCTTCAAGTTTATGTGACATTAGGCACAAGTCATCGGCGAAATCCAAGTCTTCTAGGTTCTTTTCCGTCGTCCAGTGTATCCCCCTCTTCTCGCTGCCCACTGTTTGCTGCATGATCCAGTCGACCACAATCAGGAATATCATGGGGGATAGTAGGCAACCTTGTTTCACTCCTGTCTTCACTTCAAAAGCATCACTGAGCTACTCAGGCCAGGATTAACGTCCTGTGAATATTTATTAGTGAATAATTGTTAGTCAGAAATATGACAATATTTGACAGAATGAGGGAATGTGAGTTGAAATTATGAAGTATGGAATTCATAACCAAGTGAGTAGACAGTGAGTAATAGAAACATAAATTTGTAACTGAGTTAAACGAAAATCATTTACATAGTAGCAGTATGAAAATGAGAAGATCAGTTAGACTTAAGAATTGGAAAGTGAACGGGGATAGGAAATGACAAAGTTGCTTCTGTACACATTATCCCTTTTTTAATTTTTCTATTAACGGAGCTTCAGCAATACCCTTTACTATGACCCGTAGTTCTACTTAACACTCTACGAGCGATACCAGCCTAGCAGACGATGAACGTTATGAATCTAGCGAATCAACTCTAGCGCAAATCGGAACGTCAACCACCAGAACAACAATACCACTGACACGCGAACACAAGAAGAGAAGACAGATTGTTGACAGAAACCTTTTTACTGTCTCAACAACAGTCAATACAGCTGGCAACGATGTTGAATATATACATTTGTAAATGACCTTGACAACAGTAAGTTCGCATATGGTTAATAACCAGTGAGAGTTGAGCCTTGAGAGGAGACGGGGGAGAAACTAGTAACAGTGTGAAAACAGCTGTGTAGGTTATTTTTAAGGCCATGGAGAAAACAGCAGGCGAAATCTATGCAAAACTAGCAGTATACAGCACCATTCGGAAGATTAAATTGTACTTTACAGACTAGTGTAAGCGTTTGTCCTAGAATTGTACATCCTCTACCAACCAAATGTTGCAATATGGAGATGTTGATTGTTAACGCAAAGTGAGAAATGCTGGAAAGTGTTGGCCCTGACGTCCAATGATCTGCCCCTATATACGGCCTGCGTATCATCAACCACAGCAACCATACTAAGGTAGTTAACAGTAATAGTTTGTCCTTAGCAGATGTATGCATCACTAATCAACGAATATTGACGTTTTGTTGCACAATAACCATATTTAAGTGTGACTGTATACTTACCGAGGATGATATTGCCAAAAACATGTTTATTCACGCCGAGATCTTCATTCTTTTATAACTCTCATGGAGATTGAAACCATTGAACAGCTGTTTCCTGATTGGCTGAGATATTTTCTTGAAATTTCAGCTGTCTTCAAGTGTATAAAAAGACATTCAGAAGACTCTTTCTAAGCCGGTTGACTTTGAGACAGTCATCAACCCAATATCCATTGATGAGAAGTAGCTGTTTATCCCAGCTTGAAACTCATCTGTAATGCACACGCACAATCGGATTGAGAACTTGTATTAGTACTCAACTTCTGTTAGTCTTCGATACACTGTAACCATTGTGTTATATCACCTGTGAGCATTTGCTTTCACTCCCCTAACCTCTATGTGACTGAAACCCCCCACACGTCATAGTTTTTCATTCAATCAAGAATTATTATTATCATTCAATAGATTTGTCTGCATAAAATCAATTGTTTCTTTAGTAATTCACTTCCATTGAAGAATATTCTCACTCCGTTTTTAAAATTATACATTCAGTGCGTTGAATGAGCATCTACCGATCTGCTCTCTGTTACTAGCTTCTCACTGCTCTCAACATCCACTGAATAAACTTACTGGAAATATTCATTAGTACTAAGATATTGCGAAACATTTTCATGTCTAACAATATTAGGTAACTTGGAGAGGTAAATAAAGTTCATAGACCAATCAGGAATTACTTTTTTCGAAGATGGACTCAATCATACATGATGTGTTGATTGAATGTGAGCCAGTTCATCATCTTTTAATCAATAAATAAACTGTTTGAACTGCTGAACCTATTAAAGTAGTTCAATACTTTTGGCGGAAAAGCAACAGTGACCTTATCGTGTTTGTATATTCAATGGTCAAATGAAAATGGTATTGAACACCTTTAACAGACACGTTGGTTGTTTAAACGAGTGTCATACCATCGAAAATTGTCTATCTGTCTATGTATATGTATTTGACTGTATTCGTGTGTTGGTGCGTGTAAGCGCGTGTGCGCACGTGGATGACCCAGTTCTTATGTTAACCAACTAAATACTCAATACAGGATGTTGGTAGATTTGATTTTCTAAAAAAATCAAATATCGAACGAAAAGTGTTGAATAAATTCATTTAGGCATTGATGAG